GGACTGGCGTTCTTTTCCTGCTGCTCTGGGTCGGGATTTATGTTTGACTTCCAGGGTTCTGATGCAAAAGCAACTAACTGTTTTTTTACCTTGCGATCCACTGCCCCAGTTTTATTCAACGTGGTGGCGGACAGTCTTTCCCCTTTTCTCTCATAATGCAGTGATGCTTGTATTGCCAACCTTTATACATAAAATATCACAGGAGACCCCCTTTCAAAGTTAAATGCTCGATGTTGTGGAAATGAGATTATAAATGGGCCTCGAGGGTGTAGCGTCACGGGAGGCAGCTCCACTTTAATCTTGGGTCGTTGATGTAGGCCTTAGCTTATAGGTATTCGGACCTACACGAGAATCTGGAAATTCCGGCGTAGTGATAGTGTGTGATTTGGATCCCAGCTAGAGTGGCTGCTACGGCACCGCAGATACTCGAGGCCTGCATCGGGCGAGCGCCGCGGGTGCGACTGAGGCACAGACCCAACGCTGCATTTCACTCGGTGGACACCAGCTATGTTGCCAAGTGGTCACGAAATACTGTCCTTCTGCCTTCTTACACGTGGCGGGTTCATACCCGCACGTTTAACCGGCTTTCAGGTCTGCCGCTCAGATGATCGCTCCCAAGTGCAATCGTACGTCACATCCTTAAAAGCCAGCACACCTCTATGAATCTGGCAATTATGAGTTGTGAGTGTGGGGTATTCGTGTTTCGGGTAAAAGACATTAGCTGCAAAGTTGTATCTCGTATGTCTCTGCTGCGGGGTTATCGGTGGCACATAATAAAACTTTCTAGTATCTGAGACCTCAGATAGGACAGCACGGACTTCGTCATCGCGGATGATGCTACCACTGGTGTACAAGGTCAAAGCAATTAGTACTTTCCAGAGACGTGTTGTTCGACGCTTTAGTTGGCCCTAGGCCTGTAATTGCAGTAGTCGCCGGCTATTAAGCCCACCTGGGCCCAGACCAAATTGGGCTTAATAAGCGGCTGGGCTTATTAACCGTGGGCTTAATGCAGCAGTCGCCGTTTATTAAGCCCACATCGGGCCCAGACTAAATTGGGCTTAATAAGCGGCTGGGCTAAATAGCCGGCGACTACTGTATCAGAGAAAATAGTCCATCCTTCACCATGTATTACTTTTCCCCAGTCGACTCAATTCACAATGAGCAGAGAACTGAAGCACGGCAGGGTGGTCAACCGTTGCGTTTATTACGGCTTCCCTATATCACGACGGACTAATTAAGAGAACATCGATGTGGCGTAGATACGCATACCCATGAAAACGCCCTCCGTTCGCCACACTGCTAAGCAGACTTTGAGTAATCGAAGGTAAACGACGTAATTTCTGGCCGCGAGACACAGTGAACTGATATGCTCAGGGTTGCCGTGTTTTAGTTAACTGACTGGGTTTTGCGGTCCGTCAAGAACCTGCTGGCGAAGCAGTGACGGTTGTCTTCTCACTTGGCTCCATCAACCAGGTGGGTACGTCACCGCCGTGGTCCCCTGTCCGAATGCACATGTTGGAAGCCTAGGGGAAAGTGCAGACTTCAATGTGCACGACCATTTTTATAGTAGCGTACATAATTTTATAAGAAACAGGCATGGCAGACAACAGAGATTAAAGTTATACGAAAAAAACACTGGGACCACCTTTCCTCGCAAAAAGGATGGGGGTGGAAGAGAAAGTGGCATACAGGCGTTGCCGAAGCCCCGGCTTCAAGAGCCGTGACTCGAATGTTAAAAATGTAAATATTTAAGCAGGAGGGGTAGAGCCCATCGCGAGCGGGGTATATACAAAAATGCAGCAGCAGCAGCAGTCAGAAAGGAAAAACGAAGCATCAGGAGATAGGAGGGACGGCGGTTGCGTATAGAGTTACGGACATGATTTAGAAGTCCTCATCATCATCGTCGTCATCCTCATTATCGTCTTCATCGTCCTCGCTGTCGTAGACAATTCGTTTATTGGCGCGAGCCTTTCGCATAGGCATGACGCTAGTAGGCGGGGCATTAGCAGTTCCGCTGATGGCTGGATGTGTCGCGGACGTGTCTGCGTCCACATTGGAAGCTGATGCCGATGCAGAGTCCTCTGTCGTGTACGACTCACTCGCCCTCATGTTCCGGATTACCAAGGATGTTGAGTCGCCTGACAATTTAGTACCGGTCGATGTGGGCTTTCGGGATGAAGACTGCTTTCGTGTCTTGCTGGAGAATGAACTTCTACTGGCGCTATCATCTAAAAGGTGGCAAAATATGTAGCCATCAGGCTTCGTAAATAAAGCGCCTCGATAAGACCCCTATCGATTCTGAAAGTCAAGATAGAATGCATAAGATCTTGTTTAACTGCAGGATCCTGAATGTTTTGCTTGCAAATGCTGCACTTCTGACACAGTTTCCGAAACGTAGTGTTAAAGAACATCTTGGTGGATGGATATCTGCTACCGCGAATTCTCTTCAGGTAACAATAGGCTGAAATCGACTTCGGAGGTGGACGTCGACTTATGGATGCAGCTAGCGAAAATACCGGTGATAGCTTAAAAGAGAGTACGTGAAATGAGATAGGGTCAGTCTACGAGTAAACGTATCCAGGCCGTGTGAGTTCCCTGTTTCTGACAATTTGTCTTACCACGTGTTCTATATAAGAGATTAAGTAACTAGGTCAGGTTTTAGATTTGGTATCGTCCGCTCAGGCGGGAGTAACTAAAAGCAAACGTCTACTAATGGCACTGTAGACTTCGAAGTACGATACACTGAAGAATTAATATGCATAAGCATAGTCAAAAGACTCGAGTAAAAAAGGAAAATAAGTTCCGGAGATCGAAATTGTACCTTTTGGACTGGTCCTGCCGATATCAGATCCTCTTACCCACATTCAATAACTTTACAATGCGGCCTCCGACCGTCGCTTTCGACGTTGCTCACAACGGGCTTCGCAAGCTAAAGGCAGAAGCGCTTACTATAGGTGTATTATAGTGAAAACAGACCCACAGGATCTACTCCACTCTCTCACCACTCCCACACCTGTATTCGATGTCAAGACAACAGTCGAGAAGACTAGAGGGCGCAGGCGATGTGCGCGAACACACTACAGACACACACGTGCCATATCAACACCACCTTGCTTGGTAGGCTCCCGTGTGTACTGCAGCGCCATAAAGGCCACACAAAGAAGGAGCCATAGCAGCCTGACTTTCAGCCTAAACGTGCTGACACAAGCTGTGTCTGGATTATTCGCACAACGCTGTCATCAGCAACAGCCGGGGAGCCAGCGACTGAGAAGACATTTTTGGTTTTGCGAAATTTGGTCAGAATATCCAACAGCAAACTACATTAAGTACCCAGTTGGTTCGTTTAATCAATGACAAAACCAAGCTGTCAGCATCATAAATTACCATAATCTGGTGGTTCGTCCAAGGTATTATCCTCCATGCTATCCAGGTCATCGACGCCCCCTACACTATCTTCAAAGTGGGGTTGTTGGGGCTT